CCTATTATTGGAGGTGCTTGATGTAAATATGGTGTATCTTCTTAAATTTTTGATTATGTTATTGTTAATCATTGTTTCTTGGGTCATAAATATTTTTATGTTATTTTCTTCCATAATCCTTCTTAGAATCGTAATTTTACTTAAAAGTTTTGGAATGTTGAATGAGTAGATTTCAAGTTTATTTTTAAAAGATATTTTAAGGTTTATTGAAAAAATTAAAGAACAAAGAATTTTATGTTTGGATAGAAAAAATAAAAAGCAGAAGATTTTATGTTTCAAGGAAAAAATTAAAAAGCAGAAGATTTTATTCATGTTTATTTTTAAAGTATTTTGTTTGTTTTTAAAAAATAATAATTGAAGGGGGTTATAAATTAAAGATTATTTTTAAGTAAAGAATTAAATGAGTAGAAAAAATTGTTTGGTTATTGAGCTTAGTAAATTATTAAATTATATTTGAGTAAGTAATATATTTGTAACATATAATGGATTGATGTTTATCCGTTAAGGAGAATGTTATTAGTATAGAGTATATATGAATATTTTTGATAATTAAAAAATAAATTTTCAATTTATAAGATTTGATTAGATTTAGAAGATTATTATGGAAAAATTTTTAATTATTTAATTGATAGAGAAAAAAATTGTTCTACTATAAAGATATGGGTTAAAATATTTTATATATAAAAAATTGAAATTTTTATAAATATGTAAGTATAAAAAATATATAATAAAGAAATCTAGAATGTGAAATTTAATGGTAAAATTAGTAATTTATGATATATTACTTGATGATTATTACTTAATTGTAGATCGCCTAGCGACATTTTATCACACGACACTTTATCATGCGACACTTTATCATGCGACACGACGACACTTTATCACGACGACACTTTATCACGACGACACTTTATCACTCAGTCGTTTGATAACGCGACGCTTTATCACGCGACATTTTATCATGATATACTTAAAACTTAATTTATTATAATTGAAAAGTTAAATTTTGATAATATCTCATTTTTTGACTTTCATCATGATATACTTAAAACTTAATTTTATATATTTCAAAAGTTAAATTTTGATAATATCTCATTTTTTGACTTTTCCGTCTAAATTTAAATATTTAAAAAATTTAAATTAATTTTTTTTGTATTTTTTTTATTAAGAAAAACTCATATTTTAATTTACATAAATATAATTTTTTTTAACTTAATTATCATCTTATATAGGGAAACAGGAGACATAAGCAATAATTTTCTATTTATACTTTTTATTAGTAAGTAACTATAAATCAATAAAACACCACACTTAAATTAATGTGTTTATCTATTGATATTTTTTAAGCTAATCGTTTTTTCACAAAGATTTATAATTTTTACAAATTAAGGTTTTGTATTTACCCATAAATATAATAATATATTTTTTTCTATATATACCTCAATTTTCTATATTATTATATATTAAAGAATATTTTTTTTATTAATTATAATGTTTGAATTAGGATTTACATCGAAAAATAAACCTACCCTTTTATATCAAAATTACGAATATACTAAATTTAGGACAAATAAAAATGAATCAATATGCTGGAGATGCGCCAAATATAAATCTCTAAAATGCCATTCTTTCATTACAACAAAATTGAATGATATCTTAAAAGGTCCCCTTGATCATACTCATGAGGGTAACATTTCAAAATCTTATGCCCGAAAAGCAATATCAGAAATGAAATCCAAATTAAGTGAATATTCTAGTCCTTCTTTGGTCCATGCAATAACATTGTTAAATTATGATAATAATACCTTGATGGTTATGCCAAATAAGTCTGCCCTTTATCGATCCTTACAAAGGCATAAAAAATCGATCTCTACCATTATATTGCCTCCTATCCCTAAGGATCTCACTTTCTTATATCCGGAATGTTACAGGGATATGCTGGCCAGATGATAATTTAAGATGTTGAGCACGGACGAACTACTCGAAGGATTATCAAGATCGGATATATGGATATGTGATGGTACCTTTAAAATTGTACCTGAAATATTCTTCCAACTTTATACCATCCACTTTCAAACGTGATAAAGTGTCGCGTGATAAAGTGACTCCAAATCTTGTAGATATTGAAATTATGTGTATATTATGGAGTTACATAATATGTATTAACTTTTATTTTTATTATTACTCAATTTATATTACTTTAAAATTGTTAATATGAGTTTGCAGCTATGTTTTATAACCGTAATTGATTTACATTTTATAAAAAAAGATATATTTTTTATTATATATAAAGCTCATGAGAAAATTATTGTTTGATAGTAACAGATTTTATTTTTATACTTAATTGATAAAATAAAGAAATCTTCCTTATATTTAAATTGAGCTTAATCCCTACTAATTCTCTCAAGACCGGCGTCTAATATTCTATTTTAGACAAGACTTTTCCCCGCTTGTCTTTATATGGTAAAAATTTAATTTTGATATTGAAATGTATTCAGAACAATAATATAAAGTGATTTATTTCATATAATAAAATATATATATATGTTTTTCTATTTTTAAAAAGAAACGTTTACTGAGTACCATTATCTGTGACAATATAACAAGGTAAACCAAATCTAGCGAAATAATTACGCTGATTATTTATTACACTCGTCGAATTAATATGTGTTAAAATTGCAACTTCGACCCATTTCGTGAAAGCGTCTACGCAAATTAACCAATACTTTCCAGACACGGGGCCTGTCAAATCAATGTGTATTCGTTCCCAAGGTCGGGTAGGAATAAATTGCATAACGGTACTTCTCTGGCTCCCGGTCTTCCTTCCTGACAACTTTTGCAGTTTTTTACGAATTCTTCAACATCTCGGTCAAGATTTGTCCAGAAGACATAGTGTCGGCATAAGGATCCCACTATCCCCGGATGTCCTCGATGGATAACATTCAAAACCTCTTTTTTTATCAGGAATAATGATTCTATCATTATAAAATAATAGCCCTTCTTCGAAAAAAATATTATCTTTAATTAAGATGAATTTTTTTAAACTTTCCGAATAATTATTCATATTATCAATATGCCAATGATTTTTATTATTTTAATGATCTCTTTTAGATTTATATCATTGATCGTTTCACTTATAACTTTACTTCGAGTGAATGATAAATCTTCTATTAAATTGATCTTTACTTCTCTAATTTCATTTTCAAATTTTTTTTTAACTTCTTTAATTTTTCCTCTCTCTACCCCCAAACGGGACAGAGCGTCGGCGCATCTGTTTTGATTACCCGGCCTATGAATTATCTCATAGTCGTAATTTAAAAGCTTCGTTGCCCACCGTATTAAACGGTTATTTGTTATTTTATTTAGGTCTCTTTTATCACCTAAGATATATTTTAAAGGTTTATGATCTGTAACCAAAATAAAATGTCTTCCATAAATATATTGATGAAACTTCTCTATAGCGAACATGATCGCCGAAGCCTCCCGATCAATGATGGCGTAATTCTTTTCAGCCGCCGAAAGTGTCCTCGATGCGTAAGCATTCGGTTTCTCCTGGCCAGTAAGAAATCGGTGTGCAATAACAGCTCCTAGACCATTTTCGGAAACGTCACAAGAAATCACGACAGGAATATCGGCTGAATAAGGAATTACTGTATCTTCTTTTGATAATATTTTTTTTACTCTATTAAATATTTCATCTTCTGTAGCTGACCAAAACCAACTCACATTTTTACTCGTTAGTCGGTGTAAAGGCGCACAAATAGAATGTAAATTTTTAATAAACGATTCATGATAATTTACCATTCCCAAAAACGAACGTAATTCTTTAACATTAGATGGTGTTTACAATTTTTTATAGCATTAATCTTATCTTCGGTCGGATGAATTTCGAATTTATCAATAACATGACCTAAATAAGTAACTGACTTTTCTCCAATTTTAATTTTATCGGTCGTAGTTGTCAGTCCAGCCTTATCAAATCTTCTTAATAATTCTTCTAGATTTACTATATGATCAAAATTATTCTCGCCTGCAATAATTACATCGTCTAAAAATACACTAACCATAGGATATCCCTTTATGTTTTGCATAAAACGTTGAAATATTATCAGAGCGCTAGTCAACCCAAAAGGAATTCTTTGGTATCGGTAATAACCGACATGAGTCGAAATTACTAAAAGGTCTCTACATTCTGGACTCACTCCGAATTGTAAAAATGCATCTCTTAAATCTATCGTTGAAAATATTTTACCACCCGCGATCCTATTTGTCAGGTCGACAAAAGTTGGTAGTAAATCGTTATCTATCGCTAAATATTTGTTGATTGTTAAACGAAATCTCCGCATATCCGCACGGCACCGGATTTCTTTAAAATATTAACCGTTGGCGTAGCCCAAGTAATTGGAGTCTTTGTTGGATCCACCTTCTCGATAACACCTTCATCTAAAAGTCTTCCAACTCAGCTTCAACGGTTCAACGCAACGGAATGGAATTCTTCTAGATGGCAGCGCAATTGGCACTGTATTTGGTTGCATCTTGATGACGGCTTTCTGTAATTTTATTTTTCCTAATTTTTTTTTTAAAAACTAGAGGAAATTTTGAAACAATAGTATTTTAACTGGAATCTTTCATATTTATATTATTAATACGAACTTCTTCAGGAAGTTTTATATCAAATTCTTTAAGAAAGGGCATTCCAAAAATAAAAGAATTCTCACCCTTAACTTTCCAAATAGGTAAAAATTTTGAAATATTTCTTATTTCGACTTCCACTAAACATTTACCCAATACTTCGATTTTGATAGGTTATATCCTACTAGTTTATAAGCAGGTGATAATGGTGGTTTGCCTAAGCGACTCCAGGTAACCTCATCTATCACACTACACGCCGCGCCAGTAACAAATTCCATAGTAAGCTGCAGCCCATTTATCTTCGCATCGATTGTAGCTTTATTAGCAAAAGACAGGCGAGGTGTCCGTGGTAAAATCATTTGTATAGCATGCGTTCTACACTCTTTCGCTATGTGGTTTGCTTTTCCACACCTAAAGCATATTACTTTTTTTGACTGAAATTAGGTTTAAAACTTGGTTTATAAAAATTATGGTTGAATTTGTTAGCATTATAATAATTATTATCATTGAATTTGTTTACGTTGTTATAATTATTCCTAAAATAAGTATTTTTGGAATTGCATAGGCTTATGTTTAATTATTTTATTAACTTCTGCCAGGGTTTCCTTCTCCAATAAAGACAGCGCGATAGCTAGACGCACAGTATTTTCAAAAGTAATATTTCCTTCGGCATATTTTGACCGAAGTTCTTTGTCCAGCTCAGGTAACCCTACTCCTAAGATGAAAATATCTCGTAAGAGTTCATCAACCGGCGATTTAAAATTACATAAAGAGCAAACGCTTTATAATTTGATTGAAAAATCGATAATAATTTCACTGCCTCTTTTTAAGGTATAAAAATTGTTTCTATGTAGAAAAATACTCGAGACATCCTTAAATATTTTTTCTAAATTCTCGAGTAAAATTGGATAATTTATGTTATCTAAGTTATTAGGAAAGTAAAAAATTTTAATTTTATTTAAATTAGTGCCTATATAGGCTAATAATAAATCTTTTCTTTTATTTTGATCAACAATATTTTTTACTTTGAAAATGAGTTCTATATTATATAGGTAATCCAGAATATTAACTTTTTCTTTTATGAATTCAGGAATATGAAATTGAGTAGGTTCTTCAATCTTCTTCAGAGGCATGGTATAATTTTAATCTTTTTATTTAAAATAATTCGTCTTCGTCAAAAATGACTTGAAACTAAATCGTCGTGAAATGAAATGTATTCAGAACAATAATATAAAGTGATTTATTTCATATATATATATATGTTTTTCTATTTATAAATTGTAATAAATTGTAGCTTTAAGCAAATATAAAAATCAATTTATTTAATATATTACAGATATGAGGGAGAGAAATTATCAATTTACAATATTTGTAACATACCAAAATATTGTCTTGTTTTAATGAGTGAGGTTAATAAGGAATCTGTAAATAAAGTATGATTAAATGAAGAAATATTTGCCTGATTAGTGTATGATATAGTAGTTGTTTGTATAATAATTCATGTTTATATCGTATTCATGAGCATTGATATAAGGTGATGATTATTTAATTGTAGATATTGAGATTCTGTATATATTATGGTAATAATTTATTTAAATTTTGATATGGGGGAGAGAAATTAGCAATTTAAATTATTAGTAATGTACCAAAATGTTGTCTTGTTTTAATGTAGCGAGGTTTATAAGGAATCTGTAAATAAAGTATGATTAAATGAAGAAATATTTGCCTTATTAGTGTATGATATAGTTTTTTATAATAATTCATGTTCATATCATTTTGTAAAAAAACAGACGATCTCACACCTGTAAAGTCTAATTATTGGCATAAATAAAAATTGGAGCGAATATACTGTAAAAGTATTTTAATGACATTTATATACCTGCATTACGGTAGATTTGTAGACAGTTCAATATATTTTTTCATTATTTTTTAAATATTACACGAGAAACTCTTGAAAGGCAATCAAGACATTGGCATGTAGAAGAATACCTGCAAAACATTCATTTGATAAAATTGCAGAGTTATTGGAAGACGTCTATAGATAGTATGGGATTTCTGATAAACTAATTGCTACTGTTATGGACATTTGCCAAGTCATTTATTGAATATGGTGTAAAATTAAATAATCTTGACAATGATTTAGAGGAAGACCTATTAGAATTTAATTAAATTAATAATGGTTAGTAGAGAATATTTTTAAAATTTTTTAGGAAAATGTACAAAATTATGAAATGACAATGAGCCGTCTTCTGAAATCAACTGAAAGTTCCTTGTATAACCAGGTAGAATAGCCTACTTTAATGTTAAAATATAAATCACATTTAAATTAATTATTTGAAACAATTAATTGTCCCATTTTTAAAGAAGAGGATATTGTTTATATTGAGGAATATTGTACTGTAATTGCATGCATTAAACAAACTAAAAGGGCAGTGTAGTACATTTTTTGTTAGTACCCATACTATTTATGTTTAAAAGGGATTAGATAAATTTAAAAATTTTAGTTTTGCAATATTGTCTAGCTTTATTAAAAGCTGTCCAAGATGGTATGGGCTTTCTATGATGATGAATATAAAGAGGCTTTGTTTACCACCATTATCATATCCATATTTTAAGAACTTATAAATTGAGTCAGATGATAAAAAAATATTACAAAAAGAAGCCCTCAATGTAGTACCAGCTATATACAATCAAGCTCAAACTATAACACTAATAGATTTAACATAATATAGGAAATGATGATTATTTTTCTTTTTGTGAAACAAATATTGCTGAGTTTAATAATATAAATAACATCGAACTAGAGGTCTTAAATTATATTAAAGACCATCGAAATACATTAGAGGGGCTCAATTATTATTCTTCCATTAAATTTTTTGGAAACAAATACTGCAATCCTTTTATCAGGATAAGTTTAGAAACAATGATAAATACGCCGAAATTACAAAGGCTTAGTGATAAATTATTTGAAAAATTGATTATCTCAAAAAATAATGATCTTATTTAATCTATTTTAAATACTATTTTGCAAATTAATATTCAACTGCCATTAAAATTACTAGTCTCTCTTCCCTGATTATGCTATAAATGGGGTAAAACGTTAAAATCCCTGATATAATTAACTCGTCATTAAATATTTTATTATTTATTGCGAATATTCATTCTTATCACATGAATGACCTTCATTGGTAATGATAATTTTGTAAAAGTATCTTGCATTTAAGATACTCATAGTTAGCTAATGATATTATCGCATTTAGCAAAATTTTGATATCAATCTACTTTGAAAGAAATTACAAGATATATTTTTTTCAAGTTATTAGGTTTTCTTTTGGCCAATGAACCATTTATTTCTTTAATTGATATTTTAAAAGAATTGAATCATTGGAAAAATGTTGACGATAATATTTAAATATCATATAGTTAAATATTTCCAGATGTCACTCGATTCAGAAATTAAATCTATTTAAAAATATAATTTAAAAAAATCTAAAACTAATAAAATTAATAGAACAATTTATAATTTCTCTAGACTCGTTAATGAAATGAATAAATTTTAATTATTAAGAATTTAGCATAGTGATTGGGGAAAAGCAAATAAAAAGATTCTGCTAGAGATTTGAATTAAATAAATATGAAACTATTGAGGATTCCTATAATATATCGATGACAGTGGCGTCACTGGGGGGGGGGGGGAGCGCATGGGCTTGAGCCCCCTGACAAATTTGAATAGCCCCCTGAAACAAAAATTTTTTTTTAAAATTGTCTTCTTGAACTAAAAATAAATTTATTTAATTGCCCCCTGAACGATTTCTTTTATAATTCTATTGAGTAATATATAGGTTTAATTTATTATTTAAATTAATAAGACTATCTAAATTTTTATTAAATGAATACCATTTTAATTATTAGATTAGATTAATACATATATATTATATTTTCACTATGTCAGCTTGCAATCAAATTCTGTGTTAAAAATATATCAATATCACTCACTAAATATTAATTAGGCTTAACCGTTGAAGCGTAATTGACTTTTATTATTTAAATTATTATATAACTCTAATTAAATAAATATAATCATTTATTAATTTTAAATTAATATTGTAATTAGCCGAGTTCAAAATCACTAATCAACTATTGATTTTTAAATTTAATTATCATGTCTCTTCCTAAAATTATTTTCAAGGTCCAAATCCAAATAAGTAGTGTTGTTAAAAAGTTGAGTTCACCCGACTACGACTCAGAGTCTCTAGTCATTAGTCAAATAAGTCAACCAACTTAAGTCGTGAACTCAAGTCTATAAACTTGAGTCGACTAGAGGACGAATAGTTCTATGAACTTGATTAGTTATTATTAATTAATAAAACATTTGTTCTGTTTTTTTTATTTTAAACTTTATAATTCCTACTTGAGTCGTGAATACTAAATATAATATACTTGTGTCGACTAGAGGACGAATAGTTCTATGAACTTGAGTCGACTTAAGGACGGAGATTTTAAATTAGTTATTATTAATTTATAAAACATTTTTCTGTTTTTTTATTTTTAACTTTAGACTTCCAACTTGAGTCGTTATACGAGTTATATACTTAAGTCGACTAGAAGACGAATAGTTGTGTCGTTTTTTCGACTCAGACTCAAACATCGGGTCGTTTTTTACGACTTAAACTCAAAGTTATGGTCGTTTTATTCGATCTGATCCAAAATATGGGTCGTTTTTTAAAGGACGATCTAAGGTTTGGGTTGCTTTTTTTCACTTGTCCCATTATCCAGATCATTTTTTTTGACCAAGACTTCTATGGTTGACTCCAATAAATATAATAATAACATTAAGTAAATATTAAAATTATGGGAGGGTATATTTATAGCTTCTTTTAATTATAATGCTCTGACTTACTATTATTACACTGGCATTTGTCATCGTTATTTTTTTAAACAGTGATTATGTACCATAAAAAAGTGACAATTGTCATAATCGTTATTTTTAAATTTTTAAGGCAAATGGGCAAAAATATACATAGTAAACATGTTAAATTAAAATTTCAGTGAAGGTGTACTATAGAAAAATGACAATTGTCAAAATTATATTTGATTTTTTTTAAAACAAATGGGTAAAAATAGATATTGTAAACATGTTAAATTAAAATTTCAATAAATATGTATCATAGAAAGGTGACAATTGATTTTAAAAAGTGCGAGTGGACCGGTTAAAAAATTTAAATGAGGCATTTTAATGAAATAAATAGTAAAGGTTTCTGTAAATGCCTTGGAAAAACTGCCACAATTCGTAAATATATTGAGCGTTGTTAATATGGAAATTTTGAATAAACTTTATATATTTTTTTCTTTTTAAATTAAATTGACCTTTTAGTAAATTTTCTTTTACTTTTTATAAAATATAAGGGCGAACTTTTCGAAATTCTTTTTTTTATATAACTTTAAAAAAAACTTATTATTTCAATATGTAAAAAATGTAAATTTAAAAGGTATATATATATAGAGCACAAAATGTTAAATATTTTAGTGTTAAAAGTGTTAATAAAAAATAAAATAAAAATTTAATTGTCTTTGTTGCGCCTTCTATTAAATTATTATGGTGTCAGAATATTTGTTAATTATTACACTACCAATTGAAATAAGTATAAAAAGAATTTTTGATAATAACAAAAGAGATTGCACATATAAAGTACATGAAAGCAAAACTATAATTCTAATACGATATGATAGACTTGACGAAGGCCTATGGACTTATATATGGAAAGGAATATATTGATGCCAATGGGAGATTGTTTATACTGAAGGCAAAACGATATCAGAGACTTTAAAGAAATTATCAATATAATCGTATTGTATTTAAATAAATATATATATATATGATAAATTATAGTTATAAAATATTGATGTGATATAATAAAGTATAATTAAACCTTTGGTAAAGGTAAAAAATACTATTATTGAATGTCCAAATTATAATAATAGTGTTGAAGCTTTTTAAAAAAAATTTGATAATATTTTTAAGGATCCACAATATTCTGATGCAGAAAAAGCTTACGCATTCACGCAAAAATTACCTGAAGAACAATACTTTAAACTAGAGGCAATATGTACTCCAACAGAATTTTGCAATCCGTTAATCGTTCTTGAAAGATTCAAACTATTACACCCAGACAAATCGTATATAACGTATCTAAAAGAATTTAGTGAAGTGATGCAAGATAAAAATGAAACATTCAGTAATTTGATAACTAGATTATGTATATTAAGTAATAAATGCAGATTCAGTAATTATAGTAGAGCAATCGAGAGAATAAAAATATTTTCAACTAATAAAGAGATACGTCAGAAAATTTCACATATAGAAAGTACAGATATATCAGAGATAATAAAAATAGGAAAGGAGATTGAGGAAAAAGAAGCATATGATAAAATAATTAATAAAATTGATAACATAAAAATAGAAGGAGACACAACGGAAATAAAACAAATAGAAATGCAGAAGATAATCAAGCGGATACGGATAGAAGGATGATAAAATACGATGATCGCAATAGAGGGATAGATGCGCAAACGAATAACGTATACAGAAGTCAATGGAAGCCTAGATACGACAATCATCATAGAAATAATTATCAAGGGAATAATTTTAATCCGCTTTTTCAAAACAATTTCAATCCACGATATCAAATTAATTTTAATTCGAGACATGCAAATAATTATAACCAAGATATCGAAACAATTATAATCCTAGAGTTTACGATAATGATAGGGGGTATAATGGGCCAGGACCGTATAATAATTTCACAAGATTTAACAATAAAAATAATTATAATAACAACTACAATAACTATAGATATAATAATGATGATAATTATAAATATAATGAAAATAATTATAGATATTATAGACATCAGAACGAATCAAGATACATACCAAGATACAATAATAATCGAAAAAATAATCAGTCATACAACAACATATGTAAAGACAATAATAATAATCTATCCAGATATTCGAATAATATAAATACTATCGATATAGAAGAAATAAAAGAGGATAATAATGATAAAAAGGAACACAATTTATTTAACGTTGATGTGAATAATATGGGAGATGATGACAAGGAAAATGTGCTTATAAAATACTTTAATGAGATACCGATAGTCATGCAGATCGTCACCGGGTCTTTTCAATATTGCCCATTAATATTGCAAGAAAGATAGCAATTAAAGTCTTAAATAAATCAGATACGAAACTAACTGGATATGATGGGAAAAGAATAGAGGTGTTAGGAATCGTTTAAATAAAAGCGAAATATGAAGACCAAAACTTAAATGAGTATGTACTCCAAAGTGACAAGATTGCACTTCTGGGAAGGACGTGGATAAAAGTTTTCGGAAACATACTTAATAAATTTGTGAATCTAATCGAGGAAAGTAATAATGATATGATAGAAAAATTGATAAAAGAATGCAATTCAAAAATTAATAAAAAACCTATATATCGTAGTGATGTTAAATTACATTTGAAACAAGATGCAAAACCAAAAATTATACCACCAAGACGCGTTCCATATAAAAGACTTGATTTAATAACAAAAGAATTACAAAAATGGATTGTTGATAAGATAATACAGTAGATGAAGTACGATGGGCAAGTCCACTCACTCCAGTTTATAAAAGTGATGGATCACTAAGGCTATGTGCTGATTTTAAAAATACGATAAACCCTGTATTAGAGGACTTTAAATATCCGATACCACGTATTGGTGATTTAATTTCGAAATTATCGAAAGGAAAAAAATTTACAAAAATTGACTTCAAAAACGCGTTTCTTCAAATACCAATACATAAAGAATCTAGAGATTTACTTACAATATCAAAGCACAAATGTTATTATAGATTTACGAGACTACCTTTTGGTTTAAAAACGTCATCAGCAATTTTCCAATGTACCATGAATAAAATTTTTAGAGATATGAAAGATGTCATATTTTACATAGATGATTTATTGATAACTGGTGATAATGATACAGTACATCTGAACAACATAAAAAAAGTCTTCGACAAAATAACAAAATATGGACTTACACAAAACTTCAACAAGAGTGTCTTTATGAAAAAGGAGATAAGATTTTTGGGACATGATATAGACGAAAAAGGCATACATCCGAATGAAGATAAAATCAAAGCCATTACAAACATGCCAAAATCAACAACAAAAGAGGAGTTAGCAACATTTTTAGGCATGGCCAGTTATTACAGAAAATTTTTGTGTAACTTTGCAGCCTTAGCAGACCCGCTGTATAAAATTGTATAAAAGAGACGTGGATATGGGAAGATTCACATCAGAAAAGTTTTGATGATTTGAAAACGTTGATTAGTAGTCCGCCAACTTTAAATTTTTACAATCCTGAATTGCCTATAGGAATTGCTACTGACGCTTCGAAAAAAGGATTAGATGCAGTATTATTTCACATTGAAGGTGATGGTAAAGAAGAACCTATAGCATTTGCGTCGAGAACTTTATTGAAAGCTGAAACGAATTATACAAATATTGAAAGAGAAGCTCTATCTATAATACATGCTGTGAAAAAATTTCAAGAATATTTGATTGGGACAAAATTTACGATAATAAAAGATCACAAACCGCAAATATATTTGTTTTCAAAAACACTCAAAGAAAATACTTCGATATCAATGCGATTACAAAAGTGGAATTTAGCAATGGGAGCTTATGATTACACATTTATACATAGACAGGGGAAACAGAATTTAGTGTCAGATTGTTTATCAAGATTACCTTGACAAATACAGAAAATGCGATAAAGAATATAGAAGGTGAAAAAATTGATGACAAATTATGGGACATCCCAATAAACTTTAATAGAGTAATTAAAGAAACATATAAGGATGAAGAATTAATGGAAATAATTGATAATATTAGGAATAACAACCCGATAAAAAATAAAACGTACAAAAATATGGAGATGGAATTCAGCTAGATGAAAGATTGTCTTTTTAAGGAAAACAGAATAATAATACCGATGAACATGAGAAAGGAGATCTTACGTGAATTACACAAGGGACATCTAGGAGCAGGCAAAACAAAATTGTTAGCAAATGATTACTTGTGGTGGCCTGGTATAAATACAGAGATAGATCAAGAGGTGAAAAATTGTGATTCATGCAATAAATACACAGATAACTCATACAAAACCCTTAGGAGAAAGCAACTAAGATTTTTGAACGAGTACACATAGATTTTGCACAATTTGAAAATAACAATTTTATGGTATTTGTTGACGCATATAGCAAATAATAATACGGATGAAGAACATAACGACTGAATCTACGATAAAAGAATTGATGAGAATCGTTAGTTTATTTGGAATACCATACTAAATAGTGACGGATAATGGTACTAATTTTACTAGCTATTTATTTAAAAAAATTTGTAAAGATAATGAAATTAATCACATACTCACAGTACCGCATCATCAACAATCAAATGGGCAATGTGAACGCATGAATAGAACGATGAAAATGAGCATGAAAAGAAATATGGAAAACAACAAGAAAATAAATTAGAAATACGCCTAATGATACAACAAATATGATACCTAGCAAGTTGATGTTTTCAAGTACAATGAGGACTAAATGGGATTTAATGAAACCAATGGAGGAAAACGAAAATATATTAAAGAGGAAAATATCGGATAATAGAGATATAGACGTAGGAGAAAAAATTTGGTACAAAACGTTTAAAGAAAATATTTGGGACAAAGGAACAGTGATACAAAAAGAAGGAAACTTAACGTACAAAATAGATAATGGACATCATATTATTAGGAGACATATAAATCAAATAAAGAAAAGAGCAACGAATGTAACAAAAGATAATACTGAAAAAATTTTTAGAGGGGGAAGAAGTGAACAAGTTCAAGTTCAAGGTCAAAATTCGAAAATTCAAAGTCATGTTCAAAATTCAAAAATTCAAAGTCAAGTTCAAAAGCTAGAATATGACTTACGACATAGAAAATGATTGTTAAAATAAATAAAAAATTTTGTAAAAAAATATATACATAAAATTTTTAAAAAGAAATGGGATGATCAATACAAACAGCAAATCAACAAGCAATGTTCAACCAACGACGTATCAACAATGATGTGCAACCAACTATGTTTCACGAAAGATGTTCAATAATCGATTCAACAAACGATAATCAGATGGTCAAACAAACAATCTCAAGATATACGAACAAGTGACTAATGACTGGAAGTGAAGATAAGAAACTGAGGAAAGAAGACATTTAAAAAAAGAGGGAAATGTTAATATGGAAATTTTGAATAAACTATATAATTTTTTTCTTTTTAAATTAAATGAACTTTTCGTAAATTTTCTTTTACTTTTTATAAAATATAAGGACGAACTTGTCAAAATTCTTTTTTTTATATAACTTTTTAAAAAACTTATTATTTCAATATGTAAAAAATGTAAATTTAAAATGTACATATATAGAGCACAAAATGTTAAATATTTTAGTATTAAAAGTGTTAATAAAAAATAAAATAAAAATTTATGTTTTTGTTGCGCCTTCCATTAAATTATTAAGCGTTAAATTACATAACGAATTGTGTTCATTTATCAGTATATTCAAAGATTTAATAGCAGAATTAAATAAAATGGATGATGATATCATATGTACAAGTGAGGAATTAAATGAAGAAGATGGAATATTAGAATATGATTTGATAATAAATGTAATAGGTGTTTAATAGGCGTGTATGAAATCATTACAAGTTACAATATGCAACAAAAGTGCATACATTAATTTTTTGACATAAGAATACATTTTAATTTTGTCATTTGCGGAGGTTAATTGCGAGAGAACATTTAATAAATTAAAAAATTATAAAAAATAGGCTGAGCTAATATAGACCAAGAAAAATTAGACTTTAATTATATCAGTTGAACGAGAAGTATTAGCACAGACTAGAAGATATTCTTGTTTATTTGCGCAAAGGTTCAAAGTTATTGAGAGATTAAAAATTATATATTATCTTAATTCTTTTAAATCAATTTTTATATATTTACATATGATCGGTGCCTGATTTTATAAGTGCAGCAATTATATTCTCTGTGCAATATTATATATTGCAATGATTTTATCTGTAATTGATTTTATATATTGAGAATATATTATTTTATATTTAACATGTGATCTATGATTTGATTTTATAATGCAATATCGTTCTGAATCTAATATATATGTGCAATTTTAATATATGACTTACTATTCCTTTTTTATTAAAAAATATAAATCGTTTGAACATATCAAAAATTTATTTATATAAATAAAAAAAATATTTTTAAATAAATAAATATTGTTAATGGTGGAAAAAACAAGAAAATTTTACTTTTTTATAACTTTTTTAAAATAGCCCAAAATTTATTTTGAAAGAGATAGATTTATTTTGGGAGAAAGAAACAAGAGGAGGGATTGGTTAAAAAATATCCAAAAATTTGGTGGTGCCAGCTAGGCGCTAAATTCTTTCAAAATTAAAATAAGAAACATAATATTAATATGTGTATTGTGAATTATGACTAATAAATTGAATTAATTTAATTGTATTATTTTCCTTTAATCTTTTTTAAAAATATAATTGTAGAATTTTTAGATTTTAATTTCAATGTTATAAGGGATTTTCAATCATGAAGAAAGAAGGAATGTGAAATTATAAGTATTTTTTGTATATGCTATTCATCTGCCCCCCCCCCTCATTTTTTATAAAAAAATCTAAACAACCCTTGACTTCATATAATATTTAAGAATCCTCATTCTTTCAATTTTTTTAAGCATATAATAAAAATGATTCAGTTTCAGGGTTACACACCTACAAAAAGTTCTATAATTTAGCAAGGATAAAAATATTGAATTTAAATTATCAAGATTATTATGATAATAAAAAATTATTATTTATTAATATTATATATAATTAAAATTCAAGAATAATAATTAATCCACTATTCTCTTTGAAAAATATTACAAAACGCACTAACGTTGTTATATTTTTATATATAAAACTAAAAGTAAGAATTGAGGTGTGGGGGGTTACTAATAATTTTTAATTATTTATTTCTTATATTTTATTAATAATTTTATTTTTGCACAATCATATTTAAAATTATTTTATATGAAAAAATATTTGAAAAAATCATT